CAGCAATCTCTGCAGGAGGTTTATCACAACTTACACATAATTTTTACTGATGTGATATTATATCTACCCTCCTTTTGACTTCTGCTCACAGATATTTACAGAGAGCTCTCACTCTGTTCTCTCAGGCTTTCTCACGGGTGTGAAATGTGTAAGTCTGAAACATAACATTAATTCTTGGTAATTGCAGCATCAATGGAAGGAACATTTTTAGTCTGGTCTCAGCTCTGGACTTGTATTTTTGTGTCTTATCTAACATTCCAATTAGTGGTTTTCCACTTTTTCACTTTTTGGTAGAAAAACATTTAAACATAAAACAGCTATTCCGGTGAAAAGCTTTCTGGCTCAATTTTAATTATAGTAATTTTACATGTATCTAATCATTAGTGTTTTGATGCATTTTTAGTATTCATATCCTGGATTTTTTTTCCCCCAGTTTGTTATGTTCAAACCAGCAACTTCACCATATTTCCAAAGAGATTTAATGTGATAGACTAGCACAATGTACAATGCAGCATAGGGTAAACAGTATTTTTAAGATTGTTAGAAATAAAAATCTGATATCTGTGGCCAAAACTTGAACTGCTCTCCTCTAAGTCAATACTTTTTAGACCCATTTTTCACTACGATTACATCTCCAAGTTTTTGGGAGGGATAAACCAGCTTTGCACATTTGAAGACTGAAATCATTGCCCATTCCTAACTCTGGTATTTGAAACACATGAATATATTCAGCCTGAAAGCATGTTCTGAAACATGTCAAGACTACATTAACTTTTCCATAGATATGGTTGTTACTGCAAGAGCCCTCATCTCAGCATGTGTTTGATCCCCTGTCCAGCTGTGTTTGATCAATTCAAACAAGTGAATCGAACAGTTAAAGGATATACTGAACATATAAAGTCATCAAGTTTTCCTTATGGTCCTGCTCCTGCTCACCTCTTAAAGGAGGTTTTCCAAAACATAGGGCAATTTATTTTCGCTGTTGTAAACAGCAGTTTGCCACTACTTTAAGAAACGTGGTCTTCACTCAACTGTTTCAGCAATTTTTTTTTAAACTCCCCTATATTTCTAAAGTTTTAGAGAGAGTTGTCGTTTCTCTTTTCAAGTCCCTTTTAGATAAATAGAATAGCAAGGAGGCTTTTCAGTCAAGTTTAATGGGTTTTTAATGACATTGTCCTTTTCTCTTCTAACTGAGAGGAACAGGATGATCAAGCGAGGTGACAAATAGACAAGAAATTCATATTGGTGAGTTTAAAATGGAATAAAGAGATCTGCACGACTGAGAGAGAGCCAAGGCAGCTGCAGGAGAGTCAGTGATGTCTGCAGGGGCATGTTCACTGGTAACAAACTGTCTCATGGTGGTTCGACTGACAGAGCAGAACCGTTTCTCCTTATATATTTTTTTCACATTAGCATACACATTCAAACTGATCTCTAAACACTCAGCAATAACAACCTCTTAGAAACAAGTATAAGGAAAACAGAAGAGTACACTCCACCCAGCATGGATGCTAATCCCAGTGGTTTCATATGAATGGTGCTTCTATCACCCCAGTAGCAGGTTTTCATACTATGGTATATCTTCAATCTCACTTTGCATATGAATACAGCTTCTCTGTTGGACCTGAAGAGGTTCTGATAGTTGACTACACTTTAAGCATTGCGTATGAAAAGATACAGCTGCCACCTACAAAGGTTATCCAATGGCTTTGCGGGTGGGTGGATGTGTCAGAGTATCAGAGGATAGAGGAGAATTTTGTGGACCAGTGTGAGTGCTTTGCAGCCAAACAATACCAAAAACTAAAGAGCTGATGGAGGTCTTCAGAAACCTCCATCAGCTAACAATCTCGTATGTCTGGAAAAAAAAAAAAAAAAACTTTGGAAGTCCTTGAGCCGAGGCTTTTTCTTTTTTTTTCTCCTGCAGATGACCAATTAATATAAAGTTTGTTACACATGTATGTATTTTTTACTGTTTTTCTGCATGAGTCACTTCCTGCTGCTTTCTCCATGCTGTAGTTTAACACGACAAATCCTTGCCATAGATGTTAAACAAGAGACTTAAACCAATTCAGAACCAAAAGCAGGAGCCAAAAAATAAGTATCAACTGAGAGACAGCTGTTTACAAAGTGTGTTTTTGTCGTCCACAAGACACAACCTTTTTTCTTGAAAGCACTATGAGTCAGAACGTAAAAGGCAAAATCCTGAAGAAACTAAAAATGGACTCCTGAGGCCCCAAATCAAAATGTTTTCTTTCAGTTTATGAGGTATAGGCAATTTCATTAATACCCTAGAGTCTAGATTGGCTTGAACTCAGTATGAGAGTCAATAGTTGCCAGCCTAATTTTGTTCAGCTACTACCACATGCAACTTGATGTGTTTACTGGTCTTAAAACTTTTACTTAAAGCCTATAATCTTGCAGTCTGGCAACTTGGTTTAATCACTCCACATACAGACTGCAGTCTTGTCATGAATCCAAAAATCGCAGTGCTCCATATAGTATTTTTTTTTCTTTTTGCCATTTATTCTTGCCCTCTGTATTTAGGCTCCTGCAGCATTGCATAAACATGGTTTATTAAATTATATTATGGGGATCCAAGACATGCAGTCTTTGCAAAATGCTTCACTGTGTTTCTGTCATTTTTTGGAAGTACCAGAAATAACAAGTTTTCAAAATACCACCACCTTCAAGGTTTTTTGATAAGACCCGGATATTTACAATATCATATAACACATTTTAATTTGTGTTAAACAAATATTTTTGATTATTAAATGCAGCGTCTCAAGATGCAAGTTCATTTCAAAGTCACAAGTAATTCATAGGTGGAACATGTATAGGCAAGCTGGGTGTAAAGTTTTAATTTTTGTACATTTTTGCTAATTCATATGGTGAAAGCTTCACATTAATGCTCAAATACCCCACAAATGTTTGGTAAAGATGATAGTTTAAACCAACAAAATTTGACATAAAAGGGATTTATAAGTTAATGATACCAGACATGGATCAGAAGTAATATTAGAATGGAAATCATGACATTAAATTCAGCCTCTGGAATGGCCTTGGCTTTAACTCTGCTAAACACTGTGACCCTAACTGAGCCCCACACAAACAAATGACCACACTACAGATAAAACAGGCCAGCTTGTTATGCACTTTAATTCAATTTTCAGACTCATGTTATTCTCATCAAAACAGGCGAAATAAAGTTTCAGCCCACATCTGCCCACACATCACAGCAAGCTGTCTGAATTACTGTATATCTTTATAGCATAACTATAACTCATTTACATCCAGCAGTCAATAGGGGGAATTTTGACATCAATCAGTGACTTTATGTAGGAAACACAGGGAGAACAAATTTACATAACATCCAGCTTAATAAATAGCAATGTTACGACGCTCAGAGGGAGGTGAGTTGAGAAAATGATAGAAAATGTAGCACAACACCTCCGAATCACACACCAGCTCATTGTCTAATCAGTGTTTTCCAGTTTCCTAATTAGGACTTGAATTCAAGCCCTCATTGCTTTTTCTTAAAGGCTTTTCTGTTGCCAATACAACACTAAAATAGATATTATGCTTTCTTTGTAAAATAAGGAAATGTTTTCTTTTTCTGTGAGATGCTGTGAACTTATAAAAGTAACCAAAGTGGACACACCGCTGCCATAAATTCACACATCATCTTACTTTCATCAATAGATTTCTTATGTTCGCAGCTCAAATGGTAGTGTGAATCTTCACATAGTTTAGACTAGTCTGTGACTAACCAGTCACAATTTGGTTTAATAAGAAATGTTTCAGTTGTAATGTTTGACAACGCAAGAAGATATTTGGGTGTGCGAGGAAGACATTCTGTGCAAAGAATGGAGACACTGAGTCTGAACAAATGGATTCCAGTGCATGAGGCGATGGGCAATACCGAAGAAGAGCAAAGGTGGTGAATTTACTCATAGTTCTGTAAAATTAATATGTTAGTATTGATTAATTTGTTCTTTGCAAAATTTTATAGACTATGTTTGAAAATAACAAAATTTGTAGATGTCCAAAGCTAATGGAGGTCTACATTCAAAGGACTTCCAATTGTAGCTGCAACAAACATTTGTTTTACATAGAACTGACTCAAAGGAACTGAATCCAGGTGCATTTAACACTTCCTGCACTTTAATTTGTAAACACTGAAAGCATTGTATTTAAATTTCTTAAAGTTTTGTCGTAGCCTTGAAAAATGTGGAAAACTGCAATGATTAAGATTTTACTTCAACAAATTGTACATAATATAAGTATTTTAAGGGAAAGGCAGTTTTTCCAATGTTGACATAGCTTTAAAAAGCTTGTTCTTACTTGTGGTGAATGTATTGAACAGTGATTTGCTACTTTTACAAAAAACAGGCTGCTGAAAGGTTAGGTCTTGGTTTCACTCAGGAAAAGCCTGACTTCTGTGGTCAACATTAAAATTATAAACATGAAGGACTACACATTTTATTTACCACAGTTACGGCTGATTTATGTCATTTGAAAATAATAACAAAAATAATCAACTGGTAAACCTGATTGTGTGAGAATGCTAGAGCTACATTAGCAATAGCACTAGCATGTGCCACCTGTGGGCACTTGGAGGCCACCTGTTGGATTGGAGTCTTTTTAATCCTCTACTTAGTGCGTTTTTGCCCTGGGCCGGCCATGCATTACATAGTCTATACACTGCAGACACAGAACAAAATTAGGTACGGATATTTATATATCTGACATTAAATGTGTCATTTTTGAAATTTATAAATTAAGTTATGATACTCATTATTATTATTATTATTATTATTATTATTATTATTATTATTATTATTATTATTATTATTATTATTATACTTTGTTGCTGTTGCTAATATATTGGCTTCACACCTCCTCTCCACTGACGCACCTCTCTCCGCTGTCTGTGGCCAAGAGGCGCGCTCTCGCCTGAGCGCGCTCCTCTGTCGGCTCACTAACTGGGTGTCGGCGTGAACGTCGGGAAGCTGTGAATGAACATTAATGTGGAATCTAATGTGCTTTTCGCGCCGGATGGTTTTCCTCGGCCATTTCATTTCTGCTTCGGAAGCCGGGTAAGTTAATTTCTGGCAAGTTCTGCGCACAATGGGACACAGGCTGGTGCGTATGCTGATTAATTAAGGAAGCGAATTTAAGAAGTACTTTCTGGACATAGACAGCTTTAATAATATAGGTGTGCATTTGGCTCAACTGATATAGATGCTTTTCTACTCACATTCATGCACTAAATTTATATTTTCTAACCATTTTTTTATTATAAATCATAAGTATTGTCTCCCATGCAGTTTAATAAAGTATCATCTTGGAGAATTTTGAAGACCTCTGGCTCACATACCCTTACATTTGTGCCAACATAATTTAAGTTTTTCCCATTTTTTTCCCCTCCCAGATCAAAAATATTGGCTGTAGCACACAACATAATTTAATTATATTCATTTATTATATTTATTATAATTATATTGGATTTAATTATACAAGAGGCCAAATAAATAAACATAGCTTTTGCAGGTATGGAGTTTACTGATTGACTCCCTCAGATTTAATTAAGATGGAAAAGATCTTTCTTGTTCTGAGGGTTTGATTGGAAGGGAAAGGTTGTAACGAATGTGTTGCTGTATGTACCCAGTTTCTGCTCATAATAAGACTCCCATCTGATGGAGACTTTTACAGCACCACATCCTTCAAATACTTTCTGGAATTCATGAGGGAATCCATTTAGCTGCAGTGTTTGGGTTCTTTGAGAAAAAGAAGAATCACTTTCTTTCCAGGAGCAACCCCTAAGAGATCAGCTCCACACGCTGCATTAACTTTGGCATGTAGGAGAGTGCATGTGATAGAATAGGTAAAGGTTTGCATGTGAAAGAATTGTATGTACTGCAGTGTTTGTGAAGGATTCATTTACTGCCGGAATTGGATGGTAGCAGAAAAAGGGCTGAGAGACTTGAAAGCTTTGTTACGTAATTGTGTGCATCCCACCCAGTCACCAAAACAGAAATTTGATGTTGGAGATTTTTTTTGATAATTAAAGAAACAGAAAAAAAGCCCTCAATTTTGGTTTCTTTCAAATGTTTCTGATGTAAATGTAAAACAATTGCATCTTGGAGCTACTGAACTTTGTAGTAAGAAAATTACTGTGATAGAACAGGTTGTACATAGAATAATAATAATAATAAAAGCTATAAAATGTTATTTTAAGACTGCATAGACAGGGGTGTTCAGTGCCATACAGTGCCAAACCTTTATAATTATAACGTCTTGCATTATAACAAAAAATGTCAGTGTTATGTAGAACACCAGCACAAAGTAGAGTACAATTTGGACAGCAAATGTAGTTGGTTGACCAAGTTGAAGACAAATTCTGAAAAGTGTGGCATTAATTTCTGTTCATCCCTCCTATGTCAACACTTAGCAGCCATTCTGTCAATTTCACCTGCAAATCTTTAGTGGTATGTCACTACCAGCTTTTCACATCAAGAGACAGAAATTTGTTCTTGCAAAATGGTTAAAGCTCAATCTGATTTGATGGAGAGCGTCTCTGAACACTAGTGCAAATTTTTAACTGTATTTAGGTCTGAATCTTTATGGGACTGTTCTGACACATTTTCACAGCTGTATTTGAACTCTTTCAATGCTGATTTGGCTGTATGACAACTTCTGCCACAGCTTCAAGGCTTTTGAAGTTATTTCTCTAGATTTTCCTTATGTTTAACTCTTTCCCATCAACTCTGCTCAGCGCTTCTGTCCCTGGAAAATAGAAGAAAAAAATCACGCATAATTAAGCGCCACCATGTTCAAAGTTGCTGTGCTCAAAGTCATATGCTTTCATATTTTATCATCCCACATAGTACTTTGTATGAAGAACAACATGTCCACTTTTTCTTTCATCTGACCAAAGTCCTTTTTGAATTTATTTCTCCTATCACATGTACTTGGCAAACTTTGAATTGACCTTTATTAACAAATGGCTTTCTTCTTACCACTCTTTCATGGAGGTTTAGCTAACATTAGCTAATGTTAGCATCAGTGCTAATGTTAGCCTTTTAGCTGCTTGTCTGAGTAATGTGCTTCTTTCCTGGCTTTTCTGTTTAGTTGGACAGTAATTTGGTGGCTCTGTAGAAGGGGAGCACCGATTTATTGGCCAGCCGATTTATCAGTGCCAATTTTCTTAATTTTGTGAGATCGGTGATCGGCCAATTTTTACATGTGAAGCCGATCTTATCCACTGATGCAAAGGACTGAAAATCAACCACTGTGCTTTTCTTTCTCCCGTGAGAGAGGTTTGGCTCACAAACCGACCGACCAGGTCATAAATGCACATTTACAGTTAACAATAGTCACCCTGTTGCTGCCAATTCAGCAACATTTCAGACAAAAAAAATGGTATTGGTCAAAATCAGAATCGGTAAGTTAGGCTTTTTTAAAGACAGGTAAGAGAACTACAATCGGTGCACCCCGATTTGTAGTTATACCATACTTTTGGATTCAACAGTTCTGTGTGAGAGGTTCTAAACCCTACTTGAAACACCAAACAGGTGTGTCATTTTGCCTTTATGAAACTGTTTCTTCTCTAACATTTTCTTACAAATCTATAAGGCCTTCACAGAAAAGTTATATTTATCCCGGAATTCAATTAAAAACAGCTCACCTCTGAAGGCAAATGGTGACACTGGGTTTTAATGAGGAGTTTTCAAAAGGTGTTGAACATATTTCCATGCTACACTTGATTGTAGAAAGCTATGTTACCATAGTACTTTAAGGACCCTCTTGCTTGATCATTTTAAATATTGAAGGTTGACAAAGTCTATGTGGCAATAAAAAGACATTCACCACAGATTGTTAATTACACTGAAGTAGTTATGTTGGAAACAAAAATAATGGACAACAATGGTGAGAAGAAGAATTAAACCAAGGACAAAGTCCTATCTGAGGCCTCACTGCAGCAAACAATCAGTGCAGTTGATTCAGTGTAATTCATTTAGACTAGCATGAAACCATTTGGCAATGGAATAACTGGAGTTTCTCTCTTCTTTTTCTTAAAACATTTGCAGACTACATCAAGCACAAATATTATTGTTGAATGTTTCTTTTGATTTTTCTACACAAGACTGTACCATACTTTCAAAATGTAAGTATTGATGAATTACCAAACCATTTTGTAATTAAAACTTAAAATTAATTTTAAGGCAGAGGGCAACAGAGGGCAACAGATGCTAAGTTTATTTTAAGCATATAGATGGCTTGAAGATGCACTCATTGGTGAAAAACAAACTGGCTTACACACATTTTAAGGCAATCATATGTAATATTATTGCTGTAAGGTGGCCAAAGTCACCCTTGGAGTAGAAAACATTTTTAATTCCTCCACATCCATAAAAATAAGAGGTGTTTCTGGCATCACATCAGGATCCCTCCTGGGCACCTATGTTTGGAAATCTTCCATGCACATCCCACTGGAAGGAGACCACAGGGCAGCTCTAGAAATTACTGGAACAACTATAAATCCCTGAATCTCTCAATGCCTTGGGATTTCTCTGAAGGTGTTGGAGATTGACGCTGCATGTCTTGGTTTTTGGCCTGGAACTGTTACCTTTGGGACCTGAACTCTGATAAGCAGGAGAGGATGGGATTTGTACTCTTACCCACTCTTCCTCACATAGAAGGGTTTTTAACTTCCATCATAAGACTAAGACTTGTTTATAGAGTTGCATGTGGTTAATGAGCAATAACTACCTCCTGAAAAACTTTCTTCCTTTGAGAATGAAAAGATTTCTTTCTCGCTTTAATAGCTCTTACCCAACTTTTTTTTTTAAAGTCATAATATTTGTTAAGCAGCTTAACTCTGACCTGTTACTAATGCAGGCATAAAAGAGAACTCAACACAAAGACTGAACCTGTGCTGCGTAACCACATAACAGACAACTTACTTAAAAGTAAATATTTGCATTTCATGGCTTTGTAACCTTTGTAGTGCATAAAATTAATTGGTTGTCTACAAAAATATTTTAAAGATTAAGAAGCATCAGATTCATCACATTCTGCACAAACATGGAGCTTCCAATGAGCTATTAGCTGAGTCATAAAATTGATTGGCAAAGTGAAGCATGAAACACTTTTAGGTACTGTGTAGGCTTTCTTTACTTTGTTACTACTTGTTCTTTCTTTTTTTACTTTCTTCTTTTCTTTGTTTATTTGTTTCTTTATTCCTTCTTTTCACTGGTCACTTTGTCTAAAGCTATTATATTGAAATAATGTAATTATCACAAATTGAGGTGAAATATTAGGCTACAAATTCCAAACCAAGATGAAAAGCTTATTGAAGGACTTCAAAGTATTATGGAAGTGAGGCAAAATATACTTTGGTTGTAATGAGGAATGATTCATGTCTCTTTTGTACAGTAAATGTCTTGTGAGACAGAAACTAAAAGCATTACAACAAAACAGAAAGAAACACATGTCAAACATCCACAATAGCTCTCAGCTTGAGTAATTCATCCATATAAATTATAAAAGACATGATGAAAACATCTTTACTACAAAATCTGAATTTGTAACTTAGATTTAAATGCTTAAAAAAAAGAACTAAAAGTTAAGAATTTTAGATGGCAAAAAATTAATTGGTCAAATTGTTGTAGAATATTTTACTGACTTTAAGAGATGAATCATTGAAAGAAAGCTGGCAAAGAAAATACACCAGATGAGTCAAAGTGAGGGTGTAGGAGAGACGCTATTCAATATTTTTTAAATATAAAAGAAAAATCTTTTATTACACACATTCATCACGTTTTTTTGTTTATTCTGTAGTGAAAGGTTGTACTCCGGCAAAACTAAACTTTGCATAAATGTGTGTTTTCTGATTTCAGGACTGCGTTCACCTTATTCATTATGATGTATCCTGTGATGACCCTATCAAGTCATTTGTCCCTGTGGTTCTAAACCTTTCAGCTTCTAATATTAAAATTTATGTTCAGAGAGCGTCTAATGGTTCCCAATCCAAGGGAGTTACAGTCCATTCAGTGATTTCTAGGCTTACCCTGTGGGGTCTCTCCAATGAGAT